TCTTGGTGAGTCGGATGGATGGGCAAGGTAAAAGAGTTCGATCCATAATCCAGCATTTTCCTGCCTAAGGGCTTACTCTCAGAGACTTACCTGGAAGCCCATCGGATCGTGAAGATGAATAAGAGTGAAGATGATGAGGCTGGGGCTGGAGAGCTGAGCAGGGAGGAGCTGAGGCAGATTGCAGGTGAGGAGGCAAGGGGGGGAATTGAAATTTGGCTTTCTTCAGAGGACAACCCCCCTTTCCCCCAAGTGAACAATCTCAACTTTCTGTAGAGGAGGATTTCTATGAAAAGTTGGCAGCCTCCATTGCCCCAGAGATATATGGACATGAAGATGTGAAGAAGGCACTTTTGCTCCTGCTGGTGGGAGGTGTGGACCAGTCCCCTCGAGGCATGAAGATCAGAGGTAAAAAGGAAATGAGGGGGGGAGAGGTTCAGGGTGAAGGAAGTAATTTGGGAGGAAAAGAATGGGAGGCCATAGAATATGAGAGTTGGCGAGCACAGGGAAGGTTTGGAAGAAATAGTACTGGGCATGGGGGGAGGGTAGACCACGAAGGTATTTTCTCTGTTGTTGGCCAACTTGCTTTGAAAGAATAGTCACTTAGGTCTTCCATTCCTCCAGGCAACATCAATATCTGCCTGATGGGGGATCCCGGTGTGGCCAAGTCCCAGCTCCTGTCTTACATTGATCGCTTGGCCCCCCGCAGTGAGTAATTTACGGGGAAGGGGCACATCCAGAACCACAATGTTGTTTATTTTTGTTCCTTGGGGGACTGGAAGGCAGGAGGAAGTGGAAAGAGCAGGTCTTGAGGTCTAGTGGAATGGGAAGGGAGACCTTACCAGTGCCGATACTGCACAGGACTCCAGCTCCCTCGCACTGTAGGCAGACACAGCAGTTCAGTGCAGACCTCACCTCGCTGTCTGTCTCCCTGTTCTTTGCCCTGTTCTCGCTCCCTTTTCCTTTTTGCTAAATGTGTCTGCTTCTTTCCTCTTCCTGACTCTCCCATTCAGGCCAGTACACAACAGGCCGCGGCTCCTCTGGGGTGGGGCTTACAGCAGCTGTGCTGAGAGACTCTGTAACTGGAGAGCTGACCTTGGAAGGTGGAGCCCTCGTGCTTGCTGACCAGGGCGTGTGCTGCATTGATGAGTTTGACAAGATGGCTGAGGCGGACCGCACAGCCATCCACGAAGTCATGGAGCAGCAGACTATCTCCATCGCCAAGGCGGGCATCCTCACCACTCTCAACGCCCGCTGCTCCATCCTGGCTGCCGCCAATCCTGCCTACGGGCGCTATAACCCTCGCCGCAGCTTGGAGCAGAACATACAGCTTCCTGCTGCACTCCTCTCCCGGTTTGACCTTCTCTGGCTGATCCAAGACCGGCCTGACCGAGACAATGACCTACGGTGAATGAAGCTGAACACCCAAAGAGACGTCCCTTAGTAGTACTGTGTGTGTGTGTATGGGTGTATGGGTGTATGAGGGGGAGGTGAAATCAGAAAAGGCTTCTATTCTAAGTCTCTGCCCAGGGAAAATGCAGAGCCTTCCTTTCTCACAGGAGACCAGTCCTTAGTTCTTGGGAAGTGGTGGGTCAGGGCTGAAATGCTTCTGAAGGCTTTCTGGAAATGTTTGCCCCTGCCGCACTGGGGGAACATTTAGAGTTAGGGCACAGGGTATGTAGCGCCAAAAAGAGTTACTACTTCCCTCTACCCTTCCCAGGTTAGCCCAGCACATCACCTATGTGCATCAGCACAGTCGGCAGCCCCCAGCACAATTTGAACCTTTGGACATGAAGCTTATGAGGTAGGAGGGCTGGGTAAGGATTGGTCTGTTTCATCCTGGTCACTAGCATTTTGGGCTCTGTGTATATGTCTCCTGAAAATATTTATCTTCAGATGTGTATTCTCCAAACTTCACCTGTAGCTCGAACATGTCTTGCTTGAGTCTGAGAACAGTGAGGAAACACTGGATTGGTCTCTAGGTCCATTCCCGAGTGTGACTGTGTTAGACTGGGTTCTCTAGAGAAACAAAAACCAGCAAAGTTTATATATAGAGAGAGAGAAATTTATCTTAGGAAAATGGCTCACACACGTATAGAAGCCAGCAAGTCCAAAGTTCCTGGATCAAACGTCAAGCTGGGGGCTTTTTCCAGCTCCCACAACCGCAGGGGCCAAGGAGCTCAAGGCTGGCAGGCAGTACACCGGTTGTAGATTCCAGCGAATGACGAATCCAAGATCTCCAGGCTGAACGGTGAACTGCTCACTCACAGACAGTTGTAGGCAGCACAACAGAATCCCAATCCACAGAAGAATGTCTCTCTTCCTAGGATGTCCCTGGATATACTGGAAGCAGGCCACACCCCTAAGGAAACTTCCCTTCAACAGATTGGCCACTCAGAACACAGTCATCTGATCCCATCATGGGAACAACCACACAGAACTGGGGTCTAGCCAAGTTGACACACAGCTCCAACTATCACAGTGACTGTATTTGTGTCTGATCTCCAGAAGACAAGGAGGTGTCAGTTCTTTAATACCACCACTGTCCTGTCTCAGAGGTGAGACAAAGCTGCATCCTTCATGGATACTTTATGTCACTGCTAAATGAAGGGTATGAGGGCTCCCTGTGAACCCTCAAATTTTTCTTCCCTTCTGTTTAACCCAAAGGAGCTCCGGTGGTACAGTGGTCAAGGCATTCAGCTGCTAACCAAAAAGGTCAGGAGTTCAAACACACCAATTGCTCCATGGGGGAGAAATGAGGTGGTCTGATTCTGTAAAGATTTTTAGTCTTGGAAACCCTGTGATACATGCAGTTCTCTATCCCATATAGTCGCTGAGTTGGAATTGACTTGATGGTGATGGGTGTGGTTTTGTTTCTTTTTTACTTAACCATACCTCCACTTTAAACAAAATAATTTGTTTTTCTTAGCCATGTCATATGCTAAGAGGCACATGTAACCGGTGGATTTGTCTTATTCCTACAAAGTCCATTTTCCTGAGAAGTTGAAAATTTGACATTTACTGGGGCCTATACTGTTTGAAAAGGCGCTCTGGTGGCAGTGTCTCGGGCATTTGACTGCTAACCAAAAGGTTTGCGGTTCACGTCCACCAGCCGCTCTGCGGAAGGGCAATGGGGTGATCTACTTCCATAAAGATTTACCACCTTGGAAACCAGTGGGGGTCGCTATGAGTCAGAATTGACTTATTGATTGGCAGTGAGTTTGCTTTTTGGAGTGATATTATTTGAAAGGAGCTCTGGTGGAACTGTGGTTAAGCCATTGGGCTGCTAATCAAAAGGTCAGCAGTTTGAATCTACTAGCCACTCCACACGAGAAAGATAAGGCAGTCTGGTTGTATGAAGACTTAAAGCCTTGGAAACCCAATAGGGGTCGCTCTGAGTCAGAACTGACTTAATGGCAGTGTGTTTGGTTTTGTGGTCACACTGTTGGAAAGGAGCCTTCGTGGCGCAGTGGTTGAGCACTTGGCTGCTCAATAGGAGAGAGATGTGGCACTGTGCTTCCATAAAGATACATAGCTTTGGGCATTTTATAGGCAGTTACACTCTATCCTACAGGGTCTTGGAAATAGGAATTGACAGCAATAGGTTACACTGTTTGAAGAAATTCATCAACAGTATCCAAGTCGAGTGAATAATCACCCATTAATTTCTTTGCTACTTAAAAGTTCCCCCTCCCATCAAGTTTTCTTAAACAGGGAACCCTCGTGCAGAAAAACAAATGCACGTATTCACTCCTCTCCTGTCTCCCTTTCTGCTTTCCCACGAACCCTCTTCCCACAGACGTTACATAGCTATGTGCCGCGAGAAGCAGCCCACGGTGCCAGAGTCACTGGCTGACTACATCACAGCCGCGTATGTGGAGATGAGACGAGAGGCTTGGGCTAGTAAGGATGCTACGTATACTTCCGCCCGGACCCTGCTGGCTATTCTGCGACTTTCCACTGCTCTGGTGAGTGCCCAGCCCCTTTTGCTGGAGAATGGTTGTGACACTGGCAACCTGCCTTAACACTGCTCTTTCTCCCACTTGCCTTTTCCCTTCCACTCAGGCCCTGCCGGGGCTAAAGTGCTGACAGTGCAGATAGTGATCCTCTCCATGCTACCGCACTGTGGGTACTTGCTGCTCCGGTAGGGCATGCACGGCGTCCGTGGAGGGCAAGGTGCCTCCCTGCTCCTCCATCCTTAGGAAGGGCCTGGGTGGGGTTCATTTCACTCCTGTGTCCTCGATCCTGTAAACCTTCATTGCGTCCTCACACCTTGGACCTTAGTCCTGGGGGCTCCAAAGTGCTGTTCGTGCAGGTAGTGTGATTACTTGACCTACTGCTGAGCTAGCACTTCCCGAGCCCCTGGGACACAACCTCTCCGCCAATCAGTTGCCTTCTTGGCGGAGCTCCCTAAGCTCCATCTGTCATGGTGGGGAGCCCAGTGGAGTTCAGAAGGGTCTGGTCTCCCTCACAGGACAGCTGAACACCGGGACTGGCCAGTGTTGAGAGGCGGAGACTTGGGCAATTGCTGGACGCTGCCCTGGGCATTGCACTTGTCTCGGTCTGACAGTGCCGGCCCAACACTGCGGATGTTTGGGGGAGATAATAGGGAGGGTGGGTCTCCACCACTTTTGTGAGTAAACAACATGTCACCCAACTTTTCTTAAAGCTGGAACAAGGGTGTTCCCTGACTTTGTTCCACCCCCCTCCTCTTGTTCCCATCTCTACCCTACCTTCCTCTCAGGCACGACTGCGAATGGTAGACATCGTGGAGAAGGAAGATGTGAATGAAGCCATAAGGCTAATGGAGATGTCCAAGGACTCGCTTCTAGGTGACAAGGGGCAAACAGCTAGGTGAGTAGTTTATTAGAGGATGAAACTGGGTCAACCTGACTGACTTGGGGGCAGATTTATCCATATGGCTTCTGTATGAGATTGGCCTCAGAACCCTAACACTTGAAACACTGTTGATGTTGGGTGTTGCTGTTTATACCCACTCTCACTTCCTTTAGGACCCAGAGGCCAGCAGATGTGATCTTTGCCACTGTTCGTGAGTTGGTCTCAGGGGAGCGGAGTGTCCGGTTTTCTGAGGCCGAGCAGCGCTGCATATCCCGGGGCTTCACGCCTGCTCAGTTCCAGGCTGCACTAGATGAGTACGAGGAGCTGAACGTCTGGCAGGTCAACACTGCCCGGACTCGTATCACTTTTGTCTGATTACAGCCTGAGACGCTGGGGTCTGCTGCTCTGTATGCCGTGCTTACCTGATCCTTTGGAAGGTCTGATGGCCTGGAGGGGAGAGAAGGGGCCCCTCTTTGCCCAGCGCTGCACTTAACTTTGTTTTATTCTTTTTGCTAATAAAGTGTTTGCAGATCACCTTTCTCTAATCTGGGCCTGTTAAAACAAGGTTTTGTGGGTTTTCTAGATTCATTCTTACTACATTCATTGAGTAAATTTCACTTAGTAAAGTACCTACTTTTTTTTTTTTTTTTTTACTGCTTTACAGAGATGACATGCGGGCGGGCCTCCACTTTGTGAGAGCCCCTTCTAGTTAGGTTGTAACTCCCCTCCCTATTCAGTCTCATTTATTGAGCCTCTTACTGCCGGTCGCCCTGTCTGGCTCCAGGGAAACAGAGCCAGTGGGAAACTCAGAGCCGGCCTGTTTGTTTCTTGTAATGGTTTCATTGCATACCTCATTACTCCCTCCCTAGTCCCCAGGTCCCACTCTGGGTTGTGTGTAAGGGATGCTAATAGCATAGTGGCTAAAATGCTTGACTGCTAATCAGAAGGCTGGCGGTTCAAACCCACCAGCCATTCCTCGGAAGGCAGGTTGGGCAATCCTACTTCCGTAGTGATACTGCCTTGGAAACCCAAGGAGGGGTCGCTATGAGTCGGGGCCGACTCAATGGCACATAACAAGATGATTAAGGGAGCTCTGGTAGCATAGTGCCTAAGGCACTTGACTGCTAACCAGAAGGCTGGCATTTCAAACCCTCCAGCCACTCCTCGGAAGATGGGGCAATCTACTAATGTAATGATACTGCCTCGGAAACCCAAGGAGGGGTTATAAAGTAATGATAGTTCTTGGGGCAAGCTCAGATAGGCACACATTATCGGTACAGAACACACTCCGTCCACACATGTTGGCAGTAATTGGGAAACAGCCCCTTCTTGGCACTTCAGTATCCTTAAGAATTCAGGCTTTGACTTATCCCTAATAACTAAAATGTGCTCAAAGAAATTAACTTGGGGAATTAGTTATCATTTATAAGGTTGGACTATAAATGTCCACATGACTGAGCATGGGTCATTTGAGTGGCAGTGAATTCCTATCACTGGAGGATGTCAAGAAAGGCTAATGATAAGAGGGGGTGCATAACTAAGCAGGCTGGGATGAAGGGCCGTAAGATCCAAGCTGAGAAGCCAGTGTGGTGCCTAACAGAGGACACAGCCACTGGAAGGCGTGCTGAGGGGCTGCTTCCTTTTATTAAAGACAAGAGGATTCTCAAAAAGGAGTGTAGCTCCCTCCCCTTTGGGACAGTAGTCTGACCCCTGGGCAGCATCCTTCAAGTACCCTCTCATCAGAAGAAGAGCCCCCGCATTCGCCTGCCGATGCCTTGTCGATCATAGAGGACGTTGAACTTGTTCACAAACTGGTTCATGGTGTTGCATGTTTTGGTGATGGTGCCAAGGTAGGCCATGAGCCCCACGTCATTGCATTGCTGGGAGGGAACAGAAAGAACCAGTTCCCCAGGGGTACCTTTACCAGATGCTCAGGGAACACCCAAGTCCCGTGTCCTGCATGCAGTAATGACAGTGTAAGCCCCGCCTCCCTGTCCCATGTTTTACACTCACATCATAAAAGTCTGTCTTGAACTTGTCCGTGCTGAGTACAGGGAGGCAGTGACAGAGTGCATAGGCCTCCCTCAGTATCTCATGGTTAAAGGGTACCTCCCCTAAAGGCACAAAAACAGGCTGCATTAACACGGAGGCTGTCCATTCCTCAGGGAGTGCAGGGAAAATGGCATGAATGCCAGGGAGGCGCTTGTCCTACCCGCTTCAGAGGCCTTGACATACTCCAAGATGAGCTTGACACGGCTGTGTAGCATTTTGATGGCACTGTGCTGTGCTATCAGGTGTTCGGCTACTGCAGGGACAGGGATGGGTGGAGGTTGAGAAGGCATGTGGCCTTCTTTGTACCCCCACTTGCAAGGAATCTCCTCCAGTCTCCATTACCAGTGGAGTTCTCGCCGCTGCCCGTGGCTGTCATTCGAGCCACGTGGTCTACACCGATGCGTTCGGCTTCTTCTGTGGCCAGAGTATAGGTCAGCTCAGCAAATAGCATGGTGGCCTATAGAGCAGAGGGCCCCACACGGTCAAAAGCAGGAACCAGGCCAAGAGCGGGATCTGAGGGTTGAAGGGTAGGGTTATTACCTCTCCATTGATTATATCGATGACAGATTCAAAAACGCTGACAGGAAGCTGTAAAGAGATGGAGAACCATTCTAACACCAAAGGTACCCAGAACTGGGCTAGGCTATTTCCACATTTTCTCAGTTTAATCCTCCCAAGAACCCAGTGAAGTAGAGGTGATCCCTTTTATGTAAGGAGGAAAATGCAAGTTCAGTGTTAAGTGATGACCTAAAGTCACATAGCTGCAGAATGGAGGTTCAGCTCAGGCATTCCCCAATGAAATAAAAGCAGAAGATGGGAATAAAAGATACAGTAAGAGGCATGGCTGAAGTGGGCATGGGCTCAGGATTACTCACATCTGTATGCTTGGTCATAGGGTTCAACTTAAGGAAGAGGGGACTCTCGATTATCTCACACACCTGGAACAGGAGGGATGTGGGACGAGAAAGTCAATGCCCTCTCCTCGTACCCTCGTCGGGTCTCTGCCCAGCATGTATATGGGTGAGCGTGTATACCTGCTTGTGGACGTGGATGTCGGAGGGGTCAGGCGGCCCCCCTGTGGTATACCAACCCAGAAACTCCAGCTCCTTGAATACCTGTTTAACTGGAAAGGGAAGGGACCAAAGAGCATAGTATTTCCTTAAACCATCCTTCCTTAATTTGAAGTTCCTGGTGTACTTCCCCCATGTGGTCCCCCCTGCCGTCTGCCCTCAAATCCTGGCTCAGTTAAGAATAATTTGGTTTTTACCCTGCCTTCTCTTTTTTTTTTTTTAATTTTTTTTTGGGGGGTCACATACCTGAACGCGTTCTTTTTTTCCTGCAATCTCTTAGGTACGCTCATCTTACTTCCCCTGTTCTCATCCCATTCTCCTGTTTATTCTCAACCCTGTCCATCTCTCCACTAATCTTCCCCACCACCCTTTGCTTTCACCCCCACTGCTCTCCCCCACTTCCATTCCCCTCTCACACTGCTCCTCCTTGGTGTAATAATATTCCTTGTCAATGATAATCTTCTCTTCCACGGTGTGGGACAGCAGTTCAAAGGAGTTCATCACCTCGATATTTCGGCCCTCCTGTTTCCCGATCAGAGCCCCAATCACTGGGGAAGAAGATAAATTAAGTGAGTCCGGGTAGCCCCAACTTAGGATGGGTTCCATTCTGACTCAAGTTGAATACCTCGCTTCTTTTTTCGTTTCACTTATTGTAAAACATTAACATTGACCACCTTCGAGTGAACATCTGCAAAGAGCATCATCAAGATACACACTGCAACACTGTGCGTAGTACATATTACTAACCGCAAGATGTATAAATACAAAACAAGACCAGAAGGTCGTAAGTGCCGTTTGTTAACTCGTAAATCAGGGGCTACCTGAATAAAGAATCTCGAAACTTTCCCTAATCGCCTGAGATCAGCATGAACCCAGGAGCCGGAAAGCAGCGATTTGAGGCAGGGGGAGTTGGCAGCAGTAGAAGGGAGTAGTTAACAGGGAGAAGTGCACCGTTGGGGGAAGGTGGCCAAAAGGAGAGGAGTTGGCGAATTATGCGAAGCACTCACCCTGCATAGGCCTCCCCTCCTGGGAGCGCATGCGGATCCAATGGTCTGAGATGTTGAGAATGACAAGGGGATGAAGAGCGACGGAAACGCTCCCTGTCACTCCGGAGGCCATCACGCTGGGGACAACTAAGGGAGAAGAGAAAGGGGAGAGGGTCAGAGTCCGGGACCCACGTTCCACCGTGGAGATGGGAGCCGGGGACTGCACAGTCCGGGCCCTCCATCCCTCCGGCGAGTTATCCCGGGGAAAACCGTAGCTGTTTGTCCTCCCTGGAGACCAGAACGGTCTTACTGCTCCCGGAAGGGTGTCGTCAGGAGCCGTCCTCCCCGGGCCCGCTACCTGATGCATCCACCTCCATCCCGGTGCTCCCTCCGGTCCCGTTCGCAGCAGCTGCCGCCGCCGCCATTTCCCCCGCGCCCGCCAGCCTTGGCCCCGCCTCCTGCTTTTCGGCTTCCGTAGAGAGCAGCTGCGCATGCTCAGTTGCCTGTGCTTGCCCTGGCGTTGGATGAGCGGTGGTCTAAGCGATCTGCAGTTACGCTTCTCACCGGTCGGTTGCAGACGGTGCGGGCGATCCTCGGGACGAGGAAAGCCGGAAGCTGTCAAAGCGCCAGAGCCCGACAGACTTTCGTAGACCTTGGCCCCGTCTCTAGCCAGCGGCTGCTTTTGAGTAATATTAAAATGCCTAGTTCTTCAGGCTGTTGCAGAATGAATGAAATACCATTGTACAAACTCCTAACTACAGCCTGCAAAGTCCTGCAGATCTGACTTTTGCCTGCCAGTGGGCCCTCGCCTCGTACTTTTCTACCCGTCGGGTCCGTGCTTCGGGCACATTCCCCCACACGCTCAACTCACTCCCACCTAAGGGCTTGTTCATCACTGGATTTCTATGGTGGTCCCATGTGTAACTTACAAGGTGCCTCACACGGCGGCACCTAAATAATTTTTGAATGAGTAATGTGGAGTGCAACCCGGTCTTAAGCGTCTCCATGTACACGTTCTGTTTCCTTCTTCCAGATATTGATACCACAAGTTCCCCAACCCCTCCTAACCTCCTTATCCGCCATCT